TGTTTTGGTGAACAACACATTTTTTGTCATTCCTGCTATTATAAATTCACCGTAAAGGTTTTGAACCAACTTTGCATGGAGTCATGCCTCGCTTCTCGCAGTGACGTTGTTTTCTTCAAATGTTCGAGTTTCCCTTTTTTCTCTTTCGTTATAGTTGATCTGTTCCTGAAGCATATAAGACATTTCCACCGGTTTTATTCGTTTGTGGGAGCAAACGTGTCTTCTATGTATAGAACACCCTTGACGGATAATCATGAATTGGAGATTTGCAGTCTACAAAACAAGGAGGAAATACTTAGTTTTGAAACGAAACCGAGATTTCTTTCAAAATCACTGAACCCCCAACCAATACACCCACTGATAACTACCCCGTGAGAAAAACCAATTACTTTAAGTTCTCTCTATTATTAGTGTTTATCCCAGTCGAACAAAAGAAAAAACACTCAAGAAGTCGGCTTTCTTTCGCAAGTCTACAACCCTCTTAGCGAGTTTTGAACCGAAACAGAGATTTCTTTCAAAATCACCGAACCCAATCAACAAAACACTGACAAATATCCCGTCAACACTTAGACTTAGCTAGGTCTAATCAAAACTGCTATTATTACTGAACATTCCCAAAACTTTTCTTGAATTTTAAGCACTGCAATAATGTTTTATTAACTGGTAACGACTATCAACCGCATTAGGAAGCAGTCGTAAAACTCATGTGAAAATTGCAAGTTTTAAATCCAGAAATAGCAACCGCTCGCACTTGAGCTTGTGAATCTCTCAGCGGATTATGAACTCACTGCGGGCAAACAACCGACTCTGTACCAACACCTCAAGCGGTTAATTATGCGTCTCCTCTGGTGTAAAAACGACATATACTATCACACTCAGCTCTCAGTTCGAAGCGCGAAAGCACATAGTTCGTTTTGGCGAATTATCCGTCTTCTGCCCCACGACACACTAAAAGCACTTGCCCAAGTCCGCCCGACAGATTATGCCTCTCTAGTATAGAGAGGCATAACATTGGCGCGACATTCTTGCACGAGCCTGGCCAAACGAGCACCACATCATGCAACATCCACAAATGTTGCATGAAAAATTTGACCATTTTCAAACTTGAGCGAACAACACGCAACATATCGCAACAAGATGGCCAAACGCGCGCAACATGTTGCGCCCAACAATGTTGCGATATGTTGCGTTGAAATGTTGCGATCGTTTGGCCGGGGCTTGAGAGAAAATCTCTTCGATGTGTAGAAAACCGTCGAGGGATAATCATGAATTGGCATTTTGCAGTGTACAAAACAAAAAGGAGAAAATACTTAGGTTTGAAACGAAACCGACATTTGTTTGAAAATCACTGAACCCCAACCACTATTTGACCACTGATAACCACCCCGTGAGAACAACTAATTACCATCCAAACTATCGCTAAGTTCTTTCTATTATTAGTGTTTATCCCGGTCGACCAAAAGAGACAACACTCAAGAAGTCGGCTTTCTTTCGCAAGTCTACAACCCTTTCAGCGAGTTTTGAACCGAAACAGAGATTTCTTTCAAAATCACCGAACCCCGGCAATCAACAAAGCACTGACAAATATCCCGTCAACACTTAGACTTAGCTAGGTCTAATCTAAACTGCTATTATCAGTGAACATTCCCAAAACTTTTCTTGAATTTTAAGCACTGTAATAATCTTTTATTAAGTGGTAACGACTATCAACCACATTAAGAAGCAGTCGTAAAACTCATGCGAAAATTACAAGTTTTAAATCCAGAAATAGCAACCGCTCGCACTTGAGCTTGTGAATCTCTCAGCGGAGTATGAACCCAAGCAAACAACCGATTCTGTACCAACACTTCAAGTGGTTAATTATGCGTCTCCTCTGGTGTAAAAACGACATATACTATCACACTCAGCTCTCAGTTCGAAGCGCGAAAGCACATAGTTCGTTTTGGCGAATTATCCGTCTTCTGCCCCAGCCCACGCTAAAAGCACTTGCCCAGGTCCGTCCGACAGATTATGCCTCTCTAGTATAGAGAGGCATAACATTGGCGCGACATTCTTGCACGAGCCTGGCCAAACGAGCACCACATCATGCAACATCCACAAATGTTGCATGGGAAATTTGACCATTTTCAAACTTGAGCGAACAACACGCAACATTTCGCAACAAGATGGCCAAACGCGTGCAACATGTTGCGCCCAACAATGTTGCGATATGTTGCGTTGAAATGTTGCGATCGTTTGGCCGGGGCTTGAGAGAAAATGTCTTCGATGAGCAGAAAACCGTCGAGGGATAATCATGAATTGGCGCTTTGCAGTCTACAAAACATTAAAGAAAGAACACACAATTAGACGGCTTTCTTTCGAAAGTTTACAGCCCTGTTAGCCAGTTTTGAACTGACGGAAAATCACTGAACCCAACTAACCAACCACTGATAACTTCCCGTGAGCACTTAGACCTATATACAAATAGGTCTAATCTAAATTTCACTTATTTAACATTTCCTAAAACATTCTTCGACTTTTGAAATCATTCCTGCGAATTGAGTGAAAGGGTCTAACGCACTGTCATAATATTTTATTACTGGTAGCGGCTATCAACCGCATTAAAAAACAGTCATGACACTCACACAAATAATATCTGATCGCGTTTTAAAATCAGAAATAGCAACCGCGCGCACTTTGGCTCGTGAATGCCTTGGCAGATTACGTACTCAACGAAACAAACGACTCTGCGCCAACACCTCAAGCGGTTAATGTTGACTCTCCTGTCGTGCAAAGACGACAAATGTTATCACACGAAGCTCTCAGCCGGATGCACGGAAGCAGATAGTTTGTCTTGACAAATTATCCGTCTTCTGCCCGGCCCCAGACACCCTAAAAGCACTTGTCCAAGTGCCACCGAAAGATTATGCCTCTCTACTCTGGTAAAGGAAATCAGTCAAACTTCTAAGTCTGTTCACTTGTTCAGTGACGTTATTTTCTTCAAATATAAGAGTTCCCATTTCTTCTCTTGCATCATAATTGATCTGTTCTTAAAGCATGTAAGATATTTTCACCAGTTTTAGTTGTTTCTGATTTGTGAGAGCAAACATGTCTTCGATGCGTAGAACACCCTCGAGGGATATTCATGAATTGGCGCTTTTCACTCTACAAAACATAAGAGAGGATACTTAGTTTTGAACCGAAACGGAGATTTCCTTGAAAATCACTCAACACAACTAACTCAGTACAACCACTGATAACTATGTTAACACATGCAACTAATTACTTTCCAAACTGTCGCCAAGTTCTTTCTATTATTAGTGTTTATCCCAGTCGAACAAAAGAATAAACACTCAAGAAGTCGGCTTTCTTTCGCAAGTCTACAACCCTTTCAGCGAGTTTTGAACCGAAACGGAGACTTCCTTGAAAATCACTGAACCCAAACAACCAACCACTGATAACTACGTGAACACATGCAACTAATTACCTTCCAAACTGTCTCTAAGTTCTTTCCATTAGTAGTGTTTATCCCAGTCGAACGAAAGAGAGACGCTCAAGAAGTCGGCTTTCTGTCACAAGTCTACAAACCTGTCTGCGAGTTTTGAACCGAAACAGAGATTTCTTTGAAAATTACTGAACCCAACCAACCAACCACTGATAACTACCCCGTGAGAACAACTAATTACCTTCCAAACTGTCGCTAAGTTCTTTCTGTTTATTATAGTTCATGAAAACAATTATCTTCGCCTAATAGCCACATTATTATCAACAGAGTATTTTAATAATAGTGGATATGTATATATAGTTTTAGGTATTNCCAATCAACAAAACACTGACAAATATCCCGTGGACACTAAGACTTATCTAGGTCTAATCTAAACTGCTATTATCAGTGAACATTTCCAAAACTTTTCTTGAATTCTAAGCACTGTAATAATCTTTTATTAATTGGTAACGACTATCAACCGCATTAAGAAGCAGTCGTAAAACTCATGCGAAAATTACAAGTTTAAATCCAGAAATAGCAACCGCTCGCACTTGAGCTTGTGAATCTTTCAGCGGATTATGAACTCAAGCAAACAACCGACTCTGTACCAACACCTCAAGCAGTTAATTATGCATCTCCTCTGGTGTAAAGATGACACATACTATCACAAGTGCTTACCCAACTAACCAATCACTGATAACTACCCCGTGAGCACTTAGACCTATATGGGTCTAATCTAAATTGCACTTATTTAACATTCCCTAAAACATTCTTCGACTTTTGAAATCATTCCTGCGAATTGAGTGAAAGGGCCTAACACACTGTCCTAATCTTTTAGTAGCGGCTATCAACCGCTGGTGGCGGCTATCAACCGCATTAAAAAACAGTCATGACACTCACACAAATAATATCGAGTTTTAAAATCAGAAATAGCACTCGCGCGCACTTTGGCTCGTGAATGCCTTAGCAGATTACGTATTCAACGAAACAACCGACTCTGCGCCAACACCTCAAGCGGTTAATGTTGACTCTCCTGTCGTGTAAAGACGACAAATGTTATCACACGAAGCTCTCAGCCGGATGCACGAAAGCAGATAGTTTGTCTTGACAAATTATCCGTCTTCTGCCCGGCCCCAGACACCCTAAAAGCACTTGTCCAAGTGCCACCGAAAGATTATGCCTCTCTACTCTGGTAAAGGAAATCAGTCAAACTTCTAAGTCTGTTCACTTGTTCAGTGACGTTATTTTCTTCAAATATAAGAGTTCCCATTTCTTCTCTTGCATCATAATTGATCTGTTCTTAAAGCATGTAAGATATTTTCACCAGTTTTAGTTGTTTCTGATTTGTGAGAGCAAACATGTCTTCGATGCGTAGAACACCCTCGAGGGATATTCATGAATTGGCGCTTTTCACTCTACAAAACATAAGAGAGGATACTTAGTTTTGAACCGAAACGGAGATTTCCTTGAAAATCACTCAACACAACTAACTCAGTACAACCACTGATAACTATGTTAACACATGCAACTAATTACTTTCCAAACTGTCGCCAAGTTCTTTCTATTATTAGTGTTTATCCCAGTCGAACAAAAGAATAAACACTCAAGAAGTCGGCTTTCTTTCGCAAGTCTACAACCCTTTCAGCGAGTTTTGAACCGAAACGGAGACTTCCTTGAAAATCACTGAACCCAAACAACCAACCACTGATAACTACGTGAACACATGCAACTAATTACCTTCCAAACTGTCTCTAAGTTCTTTCCATTAGTAGTGTTTATCCCAGTCGAACGAAAGAGAGACGCTCAAGAAGTCGGCTTTCTGTCACAAGTCTACAAACCTGTCTGCGAGTTTTGAACCGAAACAGAGATTTCTTTGAAAATTACTGAACCCAACCAACCAACCACTGATAACTACCCCGTGAGAACAACTAATTACCTTCCAAACTGTCGCTAAGTTCTTTCTGTTTATTATAGTTCATGAAAACAATTATCTTCGCCTAATAGCCACATTATTATCAACAGAGTATTTTAATAATAGTGGATATGTATATATAGTTTTAGGTATTCCAGCACGTAAACAGTCTGCTCCAAACTTTGAGAGACCGATATCAAAGGTAAGTCTCGTTTTGATTCTCGATTGTAGTTGTGTTGCTCACCTGGTCTTTTCACTGATAGAATATAATATGTGCGATACAAAGTTAAGCAGCAGATGTATATTGATATTCTGTGTTTTTTTGGAATACACTCATTCCCAATTCGTCATCTGTAGTCCTTTGGGCTTTCAGTGTTAGGAGTGCTAAGTATTCGTTTAGTAAGGATTCACTCCCTCGGCACAGGGCTCTCGGCGTGTTACCAACACCGGTGCAATTTGCTTTAGTAATGTTCGGGCGTGCCTCACGACGAACCTAATTATGGTTGCGTCGGTCTTGCAGTACAAGAAGCGAGTAAATCGACATTTTCAAAGCTATCGTCTAATCTTTCTTTGGTTATCGAGGCTAGGCTATCTGACTTTTAAGGTGAATTGTCACAATTGAAACTTTTCTTGACAGAGCAGAATATTATTTGTCTTATTAATCAAACAAAAACAAGGCAATACCATTGGCAGAAAAATATGGCCTTTAAGGTGGCTCCTTAAGGTATTCATTTATCATGTTGCGCGCGCTAGTATCATATTTTGAATGCTGTTTTTGCATTCGTTTTTACACCTAGTCCTCTCAAACTTATTCAATGTAATGAGCAATGATGAAATAGTGTTTTACTACCATCTCTGTTAAAATCTTGGCTTTCATTCTTGAATTATAAATGTCCAAACAAATGCGTTTTTTTACCGTTTATATGGTATTATTCATTGTGATTTTCTTGAATTTCCTTCGGTAAAATCTTCCAAAATTTTCACAGTACATCGAATCCAGCGGAATACGAATTTTAAACACGAAAAAAGTAGGATTTGTAAGGACAGTTTTTTTCGATTTGGCAATTTAGGTCTTTTCCCGCTGCGGAAAAACTGGTCAGATAAATTTCCCTGAAAAAAAGAGCTCCAACTAAAGTAAACGATTTAAAACCAGTCTGCCCGGCAAATTTCGGAATACGGAATTTCACCGAAGGAAACGCGAGAAAATTCACTGTCAGTTTTGCTTTTTGTGCTCATGTTGATGTCATAAAAAATCGAAAACAAACCGACGTTTTCTTTTGAGCCTCCGCAGATTACTAAAGTTTTCGTTCTCGGTGCGCGTGCGATGTTAAACCTACAGGGAGCCACCTTAAATCGAAAGTGCAGTTATTGATCTAACCCAAACACATTCTTAAACTTTTGAAATCATTCCTATAAATTGAAAGAACCTTTTGTTACTGTAAACGGCCATCGACCTCATACCCTGCGAAACAGACAACATTCCCTTCTCTTTTCTTCTCGGTAAGAGACGCAAGGTAACCACTCTTTGCCAGCCCTCGATTTCCTATCACGCATGTGCTAACTACGTCAGCATGTGGCATGCGTCATGCTTTGTCCAATCTTGTTCCCAGAGCCCACCTGTCTTTTGGACAGCACCAGGCCACGGAGCTCTGGAATAATCAATTTCCAGACTCCAAGATTTTATGAGTTCCGGTTTCAAGGCGCATGCGTGCCTTGGTTTAAAACATGGCAATCTCGTTCCCAGAGCCCACGTGTCTTTTGGTCAGGCGCTGACCAAAAGACACGTGGGCTCTGGGATTTAGATTGCCATGTTTTAAACCAAGGCACGCATGCGCCGTGAAACCGGAACTCCTAAAATCTTGGAGTCTGGAAATTGATTATTCCAGGGCTCCGTGTCTTGGTGCTGTCCGCTTTGTCATGCGGAACGTTTGCATGCAATCTAATTTTCAGTTATTTTCGGATCAGATGTGGCGAATTATTTGAATTCTGACTTTAGAGAAACTTCAGAATTTCCGTAACATTATACGAAGTTAGGAGCGACAAAGAAACAGACGAAAAGGCCTTTAAAACAGTTTGTCAGGTAACTGGTAATTTTAAAACTTTTGTTACAGTTATATGAATT